CAGATACTGTACACAGGTAAGCTGAGGTCAAGGGATCGACCCCTGGGATCTGCATCGGCTACTGCCAAAGGTGAAAACTGTTTCAATGGCGTGAAGCGCCCGACAAAGATCCCTGGCCGATCAACTGTATCACCCGGCAACTTGTTTGCACACACACATAACACACTCTGGTTCACCCTGGATGTCCCGCACACACTCACTCTCACACATATATACACACACACAAACCTTCTAATGGGCAGCTATGTGTGCCATCTATCTCCTACTACTAACTATTGGCTATGGCTGTGTCTTCCTCCTGCGAGGATTCGGTCCTCGGCAGGCCTAAGGGGCCCCTGTTGCATCTGTGCCCGCCCTAAGTGAAGGCGGGCCTAACAAATCACGAGAGGCCTCGGCTGTCAATTTCGTATTGGGGGTCCAGGTAGTTGTGATGCGCCAGTTGGTTGAAGGGAAACACAGGCCGAACAACAAAGATATTCCACGGCCTTCTGGGCTTTTCCAGGAATGCAGGCCCTGGGCGAGAATCGCAGCCTCATACACTGACAGTTGAGAGGCCCAACCGAAAAAGGCCCAGTGGCTGCAACACAAGCGCAGCATCCATGGGCCTACCGGAAGCTTCTGGGCCCAGCCCAGTCCAGCCAGGTTGCGAAGGCAGGAGGCTCTTTCCATATAGGAAAGAGCTCGCCACCGGCGGCCTCATTCAGGGACTCGCATGCTAGCGGCAGCGCTGCTGGAGCAAACGCTAGTGGGCTGCTGCTGGCGCCAAGGGGCAAGGTGCTAGCGCGTGCGGTCGTGCAGGGAGCAGGGTGCTGCTGAGGGCAGCGCCATAGCCCAGCCTCGATAGCTGGTTGGGCTTGGACTACAGTGAGGCGCAGGGGTGGTCTTCGGGTGTACAGGGGGAGGACGTGGGTGTAAGACGAGGGAGAGGGAGAAGGATGATGATGATGATGATGTGAGGGCACATACCTGGTATTGGCGATGGTCTGCTACGAGCAACATCTTCAAGTACTTCGTGGGCTGCTGACGTCAACAGTTGCATCGTCAATTAGTAGGCAGACTGTAGCTGTATAGTGAGTAGGCTGGGCGCCGAGCGCCAAGTAGGAGATAGGGCCTGGACACTCATGTTGGTGGTGGCGAGAGCCAGTTCTCATTGACATTGGTTTTCAGTGTTACGATTCTTCATTGGTGTTATATTGGTGCACTTCTACTTTCTGGATACAATGATACTATCTGGCCTTCAATGTGATTGTGTATGCTGGTCATTGCCATCTCGCTATTGCTCATTTTCCTTGCAATTTGGTATCGGAGCTGGTTCGAAATGCGCTCATTGGTTCTTCGCAATAGCTCTTCGGTGCTTCGCATGAGGTGTGGGGAAGTGATAAGGCTTGGGCGTGGAACGTGAGGAGGCCCAGGGTCGTGTGGGCGCGCCAGGAAGCTATGTGGTGACATTAGGGGTGTACGCTGGATGATGAGAGCTCGCTGACGCGGCATTTAAGCCGAGGTGGAACTGCATTCTGTTGTTGGTTGTGCTGAGGCAAGACCGGTCATCATAAATGCACATCAGGTTGCCAATGAGAAATTTGTGGTTAGGGGCAGTATTATGAGGTACGTTGCTCTCTTCCTTATCTACCCTCTCCATTACTTCTTACCATAAGGAAGTGAGTTATGTCTTGAGAGTCCTCTCAATGTGAGGTGTCGCGAGCGCTCAACCTTGAGAGTCGACATTCTTCCTGGGCAGGAAGCTGGTGGGAGACGGGTGATGCCTCTGAAGGGCCCTGGATGAAGCACTCGGGTCACGGTCACCATGCCAACCCGCTGGGACTAGTACACGCATGCTTTGTCGCAAGTCCTTGGTTCTGCTGCTGCGCAATAGAGGTCATGCAGGGCATGCCGGCCCTTTGAACAGACGCTTACCAGACCGTCTTTAAATATTTCTGGCGGGGACTCGGTTTTGACTCTGGCTGTGATCGTCGTCCTGATTGCGACGTTAAAGTATTCCTGAGGACCGTGGGGGTTGTCCTTTAAATGCCTCTTGATCGGCCAGATCAAACCAGGTGTAAGCCTCGTTGCATGCGAGGATAAATAAGGTGCAGGGGCCTGCAGGTTCGGCGTTGGCTTGGGGCACAGGGGTGGGCCGGATTGCACACCTTCAGACACGCTGCTCAACCAGATGCTCAGGGCGTTGACACAAAAGAGACAACTCAAGAAGGATACAGGGAGAGGGGGGATCCCGGTAACTGTTCGCGGTGGCACTAATTAGATAAAACTGCCATCCAACATGCATCTCAACAAGTAGGTTATTTTTATTTTTGATTATTTAGTTGTTACGGAATTGTTAGCAACTGACAGACAACTGCAGATAGGTTAGTTCTTTTTCCTTGCTGCCTCGCAATTTGTGCAAGAGTAATCTAAGAATAGAATTGAACTTGCCTGTAGGATCTGACATTGATTGTTGGTTACTACTTGACTACTCTCTAGATTGACCGGAGTTAAATGATTGCTCATACCCGGTTGTGTGTCATGCTGAGGTAGGGTTTAGTGTGGAATCTAGTTTAGATCACACACACTGTAGCTCATGAGTGATGCAGGCAGTAGTGAGGAGGAGGAACGAGTAGTGGAAAATCTTAGAGTTACTCGTAGAACTGCACTCAATCAACCGATTACCTTCTTGGAGTTAGGCCAGGGAGAGGAAAGGCGGCTGCAAAGGGAAGCCAAGGAAAGAACAACATTAGAGAGGGCTAGGTTAGTGGCAATCAACGCTGAACGCACACTTGCAGCAGCAAGACTAGCGGACGCTAAAGTTCATGTTGAGGTTGCAATGGCTACCGCTTCTTCAGTGTAGGCCTTGTCTCAGGCCTCTTCGTCAGGTGTCAGTCAGGGTATCTCTCATAGTTTTGTTAGTCAATCTGTTCGCTCACAAGTCAGCCAGCAGATGCCACTCACACCGAAGGATTATGAGATCCTCCAAGCAGAAGAACTTCATGATGAGTTGCAGCGGCAGTTGAGAGAGGCAGCGGAGAGGAGACGGCGTGCTATTTTGAGAAAAGCTAGACTAGGGAGTAAGAGATAGGAGCTAGGCAAATTAGAAGCATTAGATGAGTCAACGCTTGATCCTGCGATGAAAGCGCTGCATAACTCGCTCGTTTGTGTGGCTGAAACGCAGGTTGTTCAGCATGAACTGTTGGCTGAACTAGTGGCAAGCCAGAGACAAATTTTGGCTGCACTGCAGGCTCCTCGTCCTATGATGAGGTAGCCTCGGTATGCTGTAGCTCCCCCTTCGGTTGCGGGCCCATCAGGGACGTCGTCGCCAGTAGGGCCATCCTTCTCTCCTATGTTTGACATTCCTCCTTCTAGTAGTCAACCAGTAGTTAGTGGTCTTGCTCTTAGAAATTATACCGTACCATCTACGACAATGGTTACTATAGTCCCATTGTCAAGTCAGACCCATGTTAGTGTGCAGCAACCTGTTACAGTGGCTATGCAGCCACGTCAGCAATCTCCTGGGCCAGTGCAGCCTATGCAGTGGATGCCAAAGATCCCATTGCTGAGTCCTAAACCTTTTTCTGGGCATAGCAAAAAGGATGAGGATTTGGACACCTGGGTGAGAACAGTGCCCACATATGTGAGGCACAAGCTCACCAGGCCGGAGCAAGAAGTTGTAGTGGCTGCCTTCTTTCTAGAGGGGTCTGTAGCCCGCTGGTTGAATGGCCTAGTGCAGCAACAGGGCTACGGTCAGAACTTCGATGCCTGGGCCCAGTCCCAGACATTGGAAGACTTCGTACGGTCCGTGTATAATAGGTGGCATGACCCTCAAGGGGCTCAAAAGGCCATAGACGCGATCAACAATCTTTGAGCTAGAAGGTACAAGAATGTGCGCGAGATATCGTAGAACGTCTGCCCGTGGTACCTGGTGTGCGCTACGACCAGCAGGTTCTCCTTACGGATTACCTGAGATGTCTGCCTTCAAAAGTAAGAACTAAACTGGTAGATGAGGCCTATGTCGACCAGCACAACTTCGCTTCTTTCAACAAGAAGGCCTTAGATATAGAGGCAAAGCTTGGGTCCGCGCATCAGGGTCCAATAGATGGTAGGAAGAAGAAGTTTCCCATGACTGGAAGAAGAAGGGTCAGTTAATGTTCATTGACCATGATGGTCAGACGACGGAAATTGACGATTTCTCAGATCTTGGGGAGGAGACAGAGCATGATGGGGCCAATGGAACTTCGGATGGGGGAGTCGTGACACCTATCAAGGAAAAGGCTAGGGGGACCGGGAAGAAGAAGGTAGTACGGTCTATGGGTAAGGGAGACCAAGGAACACCCGCATGGGTAAAACATGGTTTAGAATATGAGGTATGGAGAGACTGAGTTGCTAGGGGTACGTGCATGAACTATGGCCACACTTCCAGAACGTGCCGAGGCAAGAAAGTCCTAACGAGGGTAGCCTCTCCAACGGTGGTGAGACTATCTTCGAACCTTGGCCGTGCTTTTGCGAGCACTTCACAGGGAAACACCTCGGGCCAGTAGGAGTTTTAGCCACTCTTACTCGTGCTGAAATGGTAACATTGCCTTCTCCACTTCAGGCGTTGGCCAGGGCTAGTGACCCACGTATTGCCCCACAGACACATTCAGACCCACCGACGCTCTGTTCGAGAGATGTGTCTGAGTCTCTAGAGGAGTTAGAGACTGAGTGGCCAAGGAAGGACCCAGAGACTCTTGGGCGATGATTAGTAGAGGTCCAAAGGGTGAACACTTCGTGGGAGAGGTTGATGTTGGTGGCTGTAAAGTGGGCGCCTTCGCAGACATAAGCTCTGCACGAAACTTCATCAGTTGTGCTTGTGTGGATAGACTGCGCTTAGGGGACCAAGTGCAACGGCTTTCTGAACTGTAGTTTCTACGGCTAGCCAACAAGCACCAAATGATTGTTAAAGACTATGTCAAGGACATAGCCCGTGCCTTCTCTTATGGAGGAGGGGAAGTGAGACACAAAATCTCATTCCTCGTTAGCGACAAACTTCCCTTCGATATGCTACGAGGCATGTACTACCTCGAGGTCGCTCAACCTCAGTTTGATTGGGATAGGAAGGTATTGATACACAAGCTGCCAAACGGTAGGACCGTTGGACTGCAGCCTAGTGGAAAACTACGGGTGCATGTGTGCCTCCTCTTTCTATAACTACTATAAACAGAATCACGAGGACGACATGTATCTAGTCTTTGTCTCTGAGAAAGGGGAGGCCGTTAAAACACCCCTTGAGATAGAATCAGTCGTTGCGCAATATTCCGACCTTTTTGAGCAGCCCACAGGCGTGGTAGAAAGGGAGGTGGTCCATGTGATAGAGGTTGTCCCAGGTAGCAAGGTGCCTAGACGAATCTATCGGATGTCTCCTGCGGAGTTGGATGAGCTCCGCCGCGAGCTCAAGGAGCTCACAGAAAAGGGATAGATTCGGCCTAGTACCTCCCCTTATGGTGCGCCAGTCTTATTTGTTCTTAAGAAGGGAGGTACAACGAGTATGTGCATTCACTATAGGGGCCTCAATGCCATCACTGTTAAAAACACAGAGCCCCTACCCCGCATCGACGACCTATTGGATAGAGTGCAGGGATGCCGGTACTTCACAAAGATAGATCTGAAGTCCGGATACCATCAAATTGCCATTAGACCTTAGGACCAACACAAAACCGCATTTCAGACCAGGTACGGTCTGTACGAGTTTGTGGCGATGCCCTTTGGCCTATGCAATGCACCTGGTACATTCCAACACGCAACGAAAAAGATATTTCATGAGTACTTAGACAAGTTTATCGTTGTGTACCTTGACGATATTCTTATCTTTAGTAGGACTGTAGAGGAGTGTAGCGGACCTCTGGTTGGCCTGTGAGACCAGCCCCTTGGCCTGTTCTCACAGGCATGTGTTGTATTTGGGGTAGTCCTGTCCAGGCCGGTACCTTTGTCGGTACCAGCTAGTCCAGTCCAGTCCAGTCAGTCCGTTGGGGTATACCCCAACCGTTGTCTGTTTTCCGGATCATTCTGCATTCGCACAGTTTTCGAGTACGTGCGTTGAGTCTTGCGTGGGAGCTGCGCTGCCATCTCGCTCCTCCGTCATCCTCCATCTCCATTTGTATCCTAGGCGGAGCACCTCACCCGGTGGGTCCGCCATATTGGTATCGGAGCGGGATCGATCCCTGATCCCGCCCACCCACCCTGGTCATCCCGTTGTCCGGTGCTGTACTTTCCCGCTTGGGAAAGTAGTGAGGAAGATCTAACCGCCATCATTATGGGTGTCACGAAGCTGCAGCAGGCGAAAAGCAGCATTGTGTAGGGTGGTTGTAATCATTGTGGGCGGCAGCAGCGCTTGGCTGCTTTTGGCAAAGGACCGAAGCAGCAAGATCCGCCAACCCGACTGGCAGTGCTGTCAGATTTCGGCTGCGGAAATTTTGTCTATGTCGCGTGATGGTAATCACACAGTTTGCGGTGCGTGGGGTTTGAACCCGGGCGGACGGTGGCGGCGGATGTTACGGGATGGTGTGCTAATCACTGTGACAAGTGGCGCAGGTGGCCGAATCGAACGATAGCAGTTTTTTGCTCTCCCCCCCCCCCGTCGACGGGGTCCGAAGTGCAGCTGGCAGTGGGGGTAGGGTCCGTTCCGCCGTCCCGGGGCCGAGTTTCAGGGTTCCGCTGATTGGAGGTATCGTGGCGAAAGATCTCGTGCCCCCACGTTTCGGCAGGTTTGGAGGTCAGGTTGGAGCAGGGGTCGGATGAGTTTCCAGTGTTGTTTGTGGCTTGAAGACCCCCTGATCAAGGGCTGATCTACACTGGTGAGGGTCTGATCACACAACACACCCTGGCGCTGCAGTGCTGCTGTGAGGGGCTTATCAAGATCTCAGCCCCCTCCCTCCTCCAACTGGCTTGCTGCCGCGAAGGCCAAGACCCTCCTGGCCTTCGTATACCTTGTGCCCTTGGAGATACCAAGGGCCAGGTATCACTTCTCTCTTCCCTCTCTCCAATATTCTACTTTCTCTACCTCCTCTCTCTCCGCTTACTCACCCCACTCACTTCCTTCTAATCACCCTCACTACTCATACCCCTCTCCCCACCCCACCTTTTCTCCCACCGCCCACTATTCTTCTCTATTTTATTCATTTCATTTCTTTTCTTCTCCCTTCTCTCTGCCTCTTGATCCCTCTCCACCTTTCCCATCCCTTTCTCTCCCTTTCCCCCTCCCTCCTCTCCCCCAACTACAACCCTATCACTCACCCCCATCTCCCCCTTTACTCTTTTTCTCTCTCTCACCTATTTCTCTCTTTTCTCCTTCACTTTTTCATCCCCCTTCCCTCCAACTTCGAAATTTTTCTGTTTTTCTTCTTTTCATCTTTCTTTGATTTATATTTGCTACTTTTTCCAAAAAATTCAAATTATCTTATTCCCCACCCTCTTTTCTTATTTTTTGATTTATTTTATTTTCTTTTTATTTATTCCGAAAATTCGAGTTTCTTTGCGGCACCCTTAAATTTGATTGGGTGTTAGTCATTCTTGCTTCGGTACACATTTTGACCCCGTGGCGGTAACGAAGTGCTGCCAAAATTTTTCCATTTTACTTAGCCTTTCTTCTTGACGACACACTTCAACCCCATCGTGGTAACGAAATGTTGTCGAAATTTTTGAAAAATCCTACTGTAGCGGACCTCTGGTTGGCCCGTGAGACCAGCCCCTTGGCCTGTTCTCACAGGCCTGTGTTGTATTTGGGGTAGTCCAGTCCAGGCCGGTATCTCTTTCGGTACCAGCCAGTCCAGTCCAGTCCCGTCAGTCCGCTGGGATATACCCCAGCTGTTGTCTGTTTTCTGATTCATTCTACATCCGCACACTTTGGAGTACGTGTGTTGAAGTCTAGCGTGGGAGCTGCGCTGTGCCATCTCGCTCCCCCTTCTTCCTCCATCTCCATCTCTATCCCTGGCGGAGCACCACACCTGGTGGGTCCGCCACACTGGTATCAGAGCGGGAACGTTCCCCGCTCCCACCCACCACCCCGCATAGCAGGGAAAACAACAAAACCCGATAACAGGGTTTTTGGCTGTTTTTCGGGCGGATTTTGGCGAAAACGAGCAGCAGGAGAGCGACGCGTGCCATCACGAGCGCGTGCGCGCAAGCGCCAAGGCTGAGGCCGCCGCACGCACACGCGCGCCACGCGCCCATGCGGCCCCGCTGCCCCGCCCCGCCCCCCTCCCGGATTATATTATCAAAATCCGGGATTTTGTTGTTGCCCGGGTTTGAACCCGGGCAGCTGTTAGGCTTGCGCGTGCGTAGCTGCCCTTGTAACACACTTGCCATACTGTCTGTATGGCTTGGTAGCGTGGCACGCTGCTGTTGAAGAGGTGCGTGCCAGCTATTTACCTCCCCCCCCCCCCGCCGGCCAGCAGCGGCCAGCAGGGCAGCAACGGCACGGCGGGGCTGCTATTAGCTCCCCCCCCCCGTGGCTTCTGCNGGCTGCTATTAGCTCCCCCCCCCCGTGGCTTCTGCTGCCTGCGCACGTGGCTATCTGCAGTGCCACGTGGCAGCCTGCTCTGAAGACTGAAGACCCCCCTAGCTAGGGGGCTGCGCCAGATTATTTTTTTTTATACTATTTTTCTACTGCTGCAGCAACAGTTCCGCAGCAGCTCAAGATTCCCCCCCTGGTTAGGGGGCTGTATGACTGTGGCAGTAGGGTGGCTGATGAAGATCTCAGCCAACCCTAGATTATCATCATCATCTTTTTATTGTTGTGGCATCAGGCCAGCAACACCTTGAAGGCCAAGATCCTGTGGATCTTGGTAGTGCATTGCTCTTGGCCAACCAAGAGCCTGGTATTATATCTCTCCACTAACCTACTCTCCCCCAACCCCTTTTCTCTTCCCCCCTCATCATCTACTCATCCTTTCTAACTCTACCACTACCCCCCTCCTCCCACCTCCCTCTTCACTCATCCCCCACCACCTTTTTCTCTCCTCTCCTCCCCACTCACCATCTTCTACTAATCTCATCTCATCTCCCACTTCACTCCTCTCTCTCTCACCTATTTCTCTCTTCTTCATCACTCTTTCATCCCCTTTCCCTTTCTCTTTGATTTAAATCTTCTCTTTTCTCCAAAAATTCGAATTATCTTATTCCCCCCCCTCTCCCTTCTCATTTTCTGATTTATTTTATTTTTCTTTTTATTTATTCTGAAAATTCGAATTTCTTGGCGGCACCCTTAAATCTGACTAGGAGTTGGTCTTTCTTGCTTTCGGCACACATTTTGACCCCGTGGGGGTAACGAAGTGCTGCCGAAATTTTTTGTTTTTCTTTCACTTAGACTTTTTCGACACACTTCGACCCC